GACCAATGGCGAAGAGGGAGAGGAGGACGTACGGGCCGAGGAATCCGAGTTGTCAACTGGCGCGCTATCAAACAAGGCGTCAATAAGAGCCTCGTTGGCGTCACGCGGTCCATGCGTCGAGGTGATGTGCAGTTCGATGGAGCAGATGCGCAGGAGGACCGAAATGGTGTCCAGATAGACCCCGAGTCCCTGATTGCTGGAGACGATTTCTTGCGGTGGTGCTGACCACGCCGGCATCAAGCACATACAAAACACACAGGTGAGCATGTGCGACATGGCAAGGGGGAGGCCGGAAAGAGAGGCCAATGTGCACACCGGCGGGGGGGAGGGGGGAGGGGGGGGGGGCAACGCACCAAAAGGCATGCGCGAAAGGTGGCGCAGGACAAAACCATCCAGGGAGGACCGCAGGAAGCTGGACACGCGGAGGCGCGAGTCGCGATTTGACAGCAACTGCAGGAGCAGCGAATAGCACTTGAATGCCAGAAGGGGTTGCTGCGGTGGGAGTTAGCGGAGAAAGGCCGGGAAAGACAAGAACGTCGAGGCATCGTTCAGGGGAAGGTGGAACAGAGTGAGCCCAGGGAATGGGGAGAGCGCACCACACACACGAGGTTCCCACACGAGTTCAGGGCTTGATCCAGCAGGGCAACGATGGCGTGCAGGCAGGACGAGCGCTTCTGAAGGGACTGGGCATCTGAGAGAGGGAAAGAGCATGGGAAGGAAGCATCGAGAAGAAGGAAGGGTGAGAGGCGGGCTGGGAGGGGATGGAGGCGGGGGGAGGGAGAGAGAGAGAGAAGAAGAAGGAAAAGGAGACAGCCAGACAGAAGGCCAGGCAAAAGGCCAGACAGAAAGCCAGACACAAAGCCAGAGAGAGGACAAAAAGGCGCGAAGTTTGGCGCACCCTGGAAGACGGTGGCACTCATGGGATTGGCAATGTCGAACCCCAACAAGAAGTGACCGATGCTTGGGAAGGGCGTCTGCCGGATGGACGTCGAGAGGAGCGAGAGAATCTCGATGCGCAGGGCCGAAGGGGTGCACCGACCCGGGCGATCATCATAGACAGGGGCGACTTCGGCCGACAGGCGAAGCTTGAAGGCGTCCATGATATCGGCCGCCAGCAAGGAAGTGGAGATGATGTTCACCAGGCGGTTACCGGAGCCGGACTTGTATCGCATACGCGGCGACAGGGCCAAACGGCTGAACACCTGGACCGCGGTCAGCGCACAGGGCAGGGACTTCTGGCACCCGACAAAGAGGGCCGTCTGGATGAGGCTTGTCGGGCCATCCAGCAGCAGGAGCATCTCCAGCCAGCTCGGGCGCCGGCCGAGGAAATCCGATCCAAGAAGCTGGCTGTCCCGGCTGAGGATCTCGTGGATGGCGTCCTGTCGCTGCAGGGTGCTGAGCAGGCAGCGCAGCGCCGAGTGTGCGATCCCGGCGTAGAAGTCCACCGGCGGCTTGGAATCCACCAGCTCCTTGCCGGACTTGATGACAGTGAGGATCTACGATGCCGAGAAGAAGAGCATGGCGATGGGGGGGGGGAGCATGTTAGAACACCAAACCCCGGCAAAAGTACCATGGAAACCGGAGAAGAAAGACGCACTTCACCGAGAAGTGGCGACCCACAAAGGATCGACGCAAGGAGATACACAGCGGGGTGGTAGAGGCCGTTCCACCCGGCAGGAACGGGCGCCCGAGCACCGGATGCAGTGGAGCTGCCCTGAGGACTTCCCCCACTCCCGGCACCGCCCATGGACGAGCCATCCATGGCCGAGTCGTGCATGGAGTAGATGCTGGAAGTGCCGAGACCGGGGCCATGGCCGAACTGGGAGGTGGTAGCCATGCCGGCGCCGGTGAACCCGGCTGTCATCTGACCACCCGTCGAGGTGGATCCGGAGGCAGAGACCGGCAGGGAGTAGGGCTCCTGTGGGTTGAACTCCTCGAGGAGGAGGGCGACAAAGTTCAGGCCCAAAGAGAGGATCGTCCACTGGTCCCGGATGTTCCTACATGTGTTTGCGGAGGCCGATGGTGATATAAAAAGGGGGGAGTGAAAAGAGCAAGGAGTTAGCGGACAGGGGAGGGCCGGGGGATGACCGGGGGACAAGAAGGGAGGAGCAGGAAGCCGAGGACTTGGACAGCCCGAGAGAGGGAGAAAGGAAGGGGGAGGGGGAGGGGGAGGGGGAGGGGGAGAGAGAGAGGAAGAGAGAGTAACGCACCGGCACGGGAGATGCCGCGCCCGAATGAGGCAGGTGCCGACCACGAAGTCCAAATAGCGACGCAGATCCAGGCCATCCGGGGTACCAAACTTGAGCATGGTGCAGAGCATCCGCAAGAAGGCAATAGTCATGGGATAGGAGGCGTTCTTCACCTCAATGTTGTGGAACTCGAAGGCAATGCCACCTGGGGTAGGACAAACGGTGTGATGAGGGTCAGAGGACGCAGGAAGAAGGGGAGACGGAAATGCGGAAACACTACGGATAGGGGGGGGGGGGGGACGAGCTGTCACACGAGTGTGCCCATCATCCATCAGAGGGGGAGGGGGGAGAAACAGAGAGAAAGAGAGGGGCAGGGGGGGGGAGGCAGGGAAGAAGAAGGAGAGTACGCACCCTCCGGGTTGATGATGTGCGACCCCTCCAGGTGTTGCCACACACGCAGAACCACATCCGGCGTCTGGCACAGGGCATCGAGCACGCCAAACAGAGAGGCCTTCAGCTGGGTCGGCACGGGGGAGACCACCAGCACGCAAAGCGAATCGAAGGTCGCCCAGTTGGGATTCCCGAGGATCAGCTGCCGAGCCTCGGCGTCTTCCAGCACCAGACGCCGGGTGGCATCCAGGCAGTCGATCAGGATGCGAGCTTCATTCGGGAGGATCTTGCGCTCCTCGCCCATGTGTAGCCCGAAGGCGGAGGCATACTTGCCAAGCGAGGTGAAGAAGAGGGACCAGGAGGTCCTGTTTGTCGGGCAAAGGAAGCAAAAGCAAGGGGGGCATGGGGACGGCCGGTGGAGCACAGACGGTGAGGGGATTTGGACACAATGTGGCAGGGGCCAACGGCCTCGGAAGGGAGACGTACCCAGGGATAGGCTGGTCATACTCGAAGTCCACAGAGACCATTGGCTCGGGCGGTCCCTGGCGCGAGGGGAGGAGGCAGGAGTGGCACCCCAGGAGACCAGCAAAGGCAGCAAGCGGACAGGCGGGATGAGTGGGGAGAAAGGGGGGAAGATGGATACAGGGGGCAAGATTTGGGGCAGCTGGTGACCAGGTGGTAGGAAAGGGGGAAGGGGGAGGAGGGGGAGAATTCTGGCCCAGCGCGCCCGGAGCGCCGACAGCCGAATGGCCTGCCTTTGTGAGGGCGGCTTGCCACCGATCCCGGCTCGGGGACTCGGCCCGGCGGCAGCACACTCTAGTGCCTACCGGCGCCCTGGGACTGGGGGGGGGGGGGGGGCTGGGGGGAGGCTCCAAAGTCGAGAGAAAGAGAGGGGGAGCGAGGGAATTGCGAGACACTTCAGCGCCCACAAGACGTTGGGTCTGGTACGCGTGTGCGGGGGCCGGACCGCCGTACAGGCGGGAACAACAGAGAGTTCGGGGGGGCGGGGGGACACCGCGAGCGCCGGAAGAAACTGCCGCGTGACAAAATCGGGTGCTCCATCTGCGAACTGCCAACCTTCTTCCGTGCTCGGGCAAGGCACATGCCGTTGTATAGGTCCATCGGGCAGGGATTGAGGGGTCTCTTGGGTGTGGTTGATCGTTATGGTTTATTCTTCGACGTGGAGGCAGGTCCGACACACTAATGGCAGGGAGCAACGGAGGCAGTTGTCATCAGGCTCTTCTCCACTCCCTCGAAAAGAGGGGAGGAGGCTGGAAACACCACACTTGTCTCCGTAACTACTGGGGGGAGGGAGAAAGATGGCGAGGCCAGCGAACCGATGGAAACTGTGGGAACAAGTACAAAGGGATGAGAGAGATAGAGAGAGGGAAGAAGAGAGAGAGAGAGAGAGAGAGAGAGGGAAGAAGAGAGACCCATAGCTTGGAGTCCATGGCCCGGAGTCGAAGGACCGGTGGAGGCAGAGATGGAACGATGGCGGGGGCTCTATTACACGACGGCGGGAGATACTTCATGGAGCAGACGTATGAAGAGGGGCACAACAGCGAGGAGTAGAGGTGGGAAAGAGACATAGAAGGCACAAGGACAGGATGATACTTGACAAAAATGGGTGTTCTTGTAGGGGGGGGGGGGGGTAGAGGCAAGAGGGGGAGAGAAAGGGAGATAGATCGATGAGGAAATATCCTCGCTCATGCGGAGCATGGCAGTGGGTGGTGAGGAGGGGAAGACCAGCCGATGAGGCAGGACGAGAGAGACTAGGAGAGATGTTCGGCGCGAGGGGCCACAAGACCACTGGCCGAGGGCTCCGCGAGGCTGCCCCCACCCGAGGAGACAGTGGCCACTGTGGCGCCACTGCTGGCGACGTCTTCGCCTAGCCCGTCGCCACACATGTCCGAGTCGCTCAAGGCTGGGGCACTTGGCGGCACGAGGGAGGCAAGCAGGGGTGCCCGGAGGATGGACGCCGCCGCAGGCATGCTGGCCCCTGCGCCGAAGACCAGATGGCGCGGAGGAGTGGGTGGCGCATGCGCATGCACATGGCCTACATCCCCCATGTGGCTGGACTTATCCCCAGCATCATTTTCATCCTCATCATCATCATCATCGCTATCGAAGGCCTCCAGGGGCTTCGAGGGCTCCCGGTAAAGGCGCTCAATTGACGGGGAGTCCGGTGCAATTGCGGCATCCTCGGAGATGGCGGGCAATGGCGGCCCGGAAAGCCCGACTGTCAGGCCACCGGGGCCAGGAGATGAAAGCCGCGACCCGGCAGCCGAGGAAGGCGTCGAGCAGGATCCACTACGCTGGAGGGGGGCGAAGGCCAGTGTCGAAGGTGGCATATTGCTGATCGATGCCGCGCCAGAAGATGATGGATTCCAGGATTCCTCGTTGGCTGGGGATAAACGCTCGCATATCGACGAAGACCGGAGATAGGGCGAGTGGTTGAACTGCAGGAGGCACACAAAAGGGGGCAACGGCACCAGCACATGTGTGAATATACATGATCGCAAGAGGGAGAGCAAAGGCAGGAGCGAAGGAGCAGGCCAGGGCAGATAGAGAGAGAGGGAGAGAGGAAGAGAGAGGAAGAGAGAGGAAGAGAGAGGAAGAGAGAG